CTGTAGCGGTTTCGGATGGGATCCAGATAGAAAAACGGTTACAACTGAGAAGTCGGTGTGAGAAGCATATCTCAAGGTACTTATAATACAATTGAATAATATGGTTGATAGTAATAGAAGTTGTTCATCTAGTTTGATCTTTTTTTTGTATTAAATTCAGAGTCACAAGGAAGCATTACCGTTTAAGACCAAGGTTTTTTCCTACTATGATGACTTGTGTATGGTTTTTGGCAAAGATTGTGCAACTGGTAGGGGTGCCGAGGCTGCTACTGATGTAGTTGAGGAACTTGAAAAGGAGGCAGCTGACGACATTAATATTGACGATGACTGTTTCAATAGCATTCACAATACGACTTATGTGGATGAAGCACAATCAATGTCTTTCTACAAGCATCAGCTGTTCCTCAAACTCAAGTTCAATCTCAAGGGTCGTCTAAAAAAAAAGAAGAGTACAAACAATGCAGAGGCTTATGAAGCCATTGAAAAATCATCTAGTTTACTTGCTGGTGTTATTGAAAAGGAAAGTGAACGTTTAAGTCGGGCTGTTGGTGAAGACATGATGGAAAAACATAGCCGAATTAGAGATGGGCTACAAAGGACTACCATCATTAACACAATGGAACGACATAAGGTAGCTCGGATGATGGTAAAAGATGATGCTTTAGTTTCATACTTTTTTAGTATTCCTGATGATGAAAAAGATGAGTGGGCTAGAGCTTTTCTTGCTGGTGATATTTAGGAGTGGTTGTTTAGTTTCAGTGGAAAAGCATAACCGGATTATCTTTTGATATTGTAATGTATGTGCTATGCATTTCTCTTTTGATATTGTAACTAATTAGGATTATGCTTCACTTTGTTAAATTGTATTAACTAGAAACTTGTTTGACTTGGCAGATGATGAATGTTGTATATAGGTAAATCTATTAGTTTTGGTGTATGACTATATTTTGGAATTATATATGTAGTTGAATGATATATTATATCATTTTTATTATTGACAGGGACTAAAGTGATCATTTTACTATACATATCATGGTAGATGCCAAAAGTGATCATATTTGAGCTTGTGATAATTTATTATTACATAAAAATATCAAATATTATTTTTTTTACCACTGAAATGTAGTTTTTAAATTTTATCCTTCAAATAAAATTTTTTTTTCAATAATTAAATTATTTTTTTACTATTTTAATTAATTAAATATTAAATTATTTAGGATTATTAATCAAGGGTATTTTTATCAAAATACAGTTTACTTTCCTTCTATTCTGTTGTCAACCAAACAATAAAATCTTCATTCATGTATTGATCCCATAACTCCAACCAAATTAAAGAATCAGTTTATGATTTTAGCACATTCTAATTTCATTCAATTACTATTCTGATTACTATTCCGCCACTGCAACCAAACGCACCTAAAATGTAAACCAGAAGAAGAAAACAAACGGCGACAAAGGACAAACCACCAGCATTAAATAAACGACAATAAAGCAATAAACGACAAGGCAGAAATGAGCCATGACATGAAGAGAACTAACCGCAACAAAGAGGAAAAAATGACGAGAACGAAATGCAGGATAAAATGACAATTAAATAGCAAACAACACCAAAGAAAGAATAAATAACAAATTCAAAAACGACACCAAAGTGAGAAACGACATAATGCAACAAGAAGTAATAAACCTGTCAGCAATAAATAAATGGCAAGTCAATGAGAAACGACAATAAATGGACAAACGACAACGTGGCAGATAAGAAGAAGAAACATAGGTATGCCGACATAACACCAAAGGGATAAACCACCAGAAGAAAATAAAGGAAAAGGAATGAAAGAGAGGACAATAAAAAGGATAAATTTTAACAGCAAAAGAACAAACTACAAGAAAATGAAAAATGACGACAATAAATTGAAAACGAGGCCAAAGGGAAAAGACAATAAAGCAAAAAAACGCAAAGAAGCAATAAACCTTCGACATGAATGAATATTTAAAAGACATCAAAATGAAAACGACAGCAAGAAAAGGAAAAAATGCAGATTTAAACATATGTGAAAAAAAAAAGACTGGAATAAAAACGACACTCACGTAAAAAAAAACGACAACAAGAAACAATTGTTAAAAAAAGAAAGAAATAACAACAAAAAACAACAAGAAAAACAAATACAGGACAACATAAAAGAAGAAAAGCTACCAAATGAAAAACGACAAGATGGAATAAAAAAAGTGAAAAGACAAACGACAATAACGCAGATACAAAACGCAACAGGAGGAAAAACAGGACAGCAAAATCCAAACGACAAGAAAGAAAAAACGACAGCGAAAGAAAGGACGAATAATGATGGACCTAATTAGCGGAAGTGAAGAATGAAAGATACTGGAACTGTAGATATTAACGGCGAATTACACAAATGTATTTCAAGGCCACCTTCTGTTACCACTTCCCATCATTCAGGCATCTTTTCTTCGATTCTTTTAAGATCCTCCATAACCATTTTTTTACCCCAATAGGAAAATGAAAATATGGCCCAAATCAGAATATTTTCCAACTCCAACGTAGTAACAAATCTCAACCACTCATCAAGAAGTGATGTACTTTAAGATATGTACGTACATGCTCTGCATTTCACAAAATGGGACAAAGCATGGAAAGCCAAAAATCAGTACTGCAAAGACGGACAGCAAGACTTGCTGTTTAAAAACAGTATTATAAGTTTCAACTTCAAGTTCTTTTCTTTTACCCCTTCTTTTTTTTTTTGTTTACTTCTTTCGGCAATGAAAAAGCACTGCCCAGTAGATCCTCACTGAGATTTGAAGCATTTTTATCGCCACCTTATAGTGTGAATTCGATTTTCAAGCACTATAAGAATTAATACATCAAAAGGGGCACACACACAAAAAAAAAAAAAAAAAAAAAAAAAAAAAAAACAATATTATGTTTAGCCATATATTAAAGTAATAAGCCCGTGAATTAGCTAGCTTGTTACGTGCTGGACCTTTTTAAGCCTAGCTACGTAGATCTCAATAGTACATAAGCTAGCTTGAATGTCATAACGGTTGATGGCTTGTATATATACCCCAGTACAGGTACAGTTGCTGCCTACATATACTTTACGTTTTGATGTTTTCAAACATTTTTGGCTTGTGTGTTAATTATTGTTTTTTTATGAGACTTTTATGTGGCTCTATTACTATTTGGCTTGGAACTGTTTAAATTTTGGTTTGTGTTCTGGAACCTTTAATTTTGGAGTAATTTGTAGTGAATTTCTATTTTTTTTTGTTTTAAGCTGCTATATAGTTTTGAAATGTATAGTTATATTAGATGGAATGGGGTGTATATATATGTGGAAGCACCCCAACGAGAATTCTCAAACCCCATCCGCGCCTCTCCTTAAGCAAGGATGGGCTCGGAGGCCCTGACTCCGCCCCATTCCCATCTTTAAGCTTAGTTCCTTATTGCTGAGTCTACATATTTCGTGTTTGACTAAGTTTCATATTTGTTATTTGTTTTTCCCGTGAATATAGTTGCACTGTAGTTTAATTCGGAAAATAGTTTATGAATATCGATAATCTGTGGCTATTCTTTTTAGATTTTCTTTATTTATCTTTCCAATGGCATTTTTTCTCTATGTTCTACTATTCTTTTCTAGTTCTATCTCATCTTGATTCTATATCAAATACTTTGTAATACCAATGATTATAGTTTCTGCATGTGACACGTTGTTGTAATATGTATGTAATAGTGTGACATATGCATATATGGTGACCTCACTATCAATGTTATACTAATTATAACGAATTGCATTGCGAAGCTTCTATGATTAAGATATTGCTTTTTCAGGATTGACTTACCTTTGGCATTTCAGTGAAAAGCTAGAACATACATCTCCTCCAAAAGTACTTTCAAAAGTTCAACACAATACCCATCTAGCATTTAGACCCTAAAGAATAGTGAATTTTTGCGGTCCCAAATCATTCGTGTTTGTTGATCTAGTTTAGAACACAATCAATTCTCAAATAAGCCACCACTGCATTTGATTAGGCCATTCAATTGCCACGGCCACACACGTGAGATGTGGCTTATCAACGGAAAAGGCTGATATTTCCGATCTGAATATTTTTTATTAGTTCAATTAGATATATATAAGCCCGCAAAAAGAAAAAAAAAAAAAAGAAAAAAGAAGTTTATCTACTCGTGTACCCTCCTCACTGTTAATTTCCTATCTTCTGTTGTTTTGGTCAGAATGTATATGTTAATGTCCAATAATGCTGCTCATTAAAGCATTGACTTGTCCGAAAGATCCCAATTAGGTCAAGTGAAAAAGCTGAACTCTTTGTGAGTAGTAGTACATCCGCATATGTCCATCAAGTACTGCTGGGGTGCAAAAGAGACAAACCTCGGAAGAAATATCAATAAGGCAGATTCTTTAATACACTTAATATAACAATAAATTTTTTTTTTTTAACCGTTAAATCGTATATATTTTAATTTTTATGTTAGTTTATACAAATTTTGTGGAGAGAAAAAAATAACTACAGGTCCCTACAAAGAAACTTATAACACCTTTTCCAACCCCAAATCAATGCATGCAGATTCTAATTACACTACACAGATATATATATATATATATATATGTGTGTATATATATATATATATATATATATGTGTGTATATATATATATATATATATATATGAAGTCATGCACAGCGAATATATAAGTATATAGACGTAGGTACTAATTTGTCTTTTGAAGGTAAACAAGGCATTTCATTGAGTAGGTGTGGTAATAGGACAGTAGGAGCAGTAACCTATTACTCTTTAGACAATTGAGATCTTTCTCTACCTAGAGGCACTCTACACAAATAACAGAAACCAAGAAAATAAACAAGACACGGACACATTTAAACCTACCTTATAGCATCTAGCTAGGCTAGCTATAGACTAAGTGAGAGAAAGAGATCAGAGAGAGAGAGAGATGGAGATTGGAATTTAGAGTGTCTATTAGTTGGTCGTTGAGGTGGAATGAGGGACATGCTTGGATGTCGTACACTCTTCTTTGAGATTAGTAGCTGTGATTGGGAAGAGCTCAAGGGTCTTGAGGGGCTTATAATTATTGCAACATGGCGAATTAGGTGGACCCACATCCACCATCATCGTCCAATCACGATCGTACAATCTCATCATGGAATTCTCCTTCTCCAATGGGATTTCCATCTTCCAAGAGTAGCTCATTAGTTGATGATGAGTTGATGCATGATCTCCAACGGCCTACATATTTATATATCATGTTCCAAAAGAGAAATCAATTTAAAGTTTGAAAAGGCAAAGAATAAGCAGATAGATCACGTAACGTATAACTAACTACATGGATCACGTACTCGGTTTATTAATTGCATGATCTGACCACTAATTATCCACTTTTCTTAACTCAGTCCCTGCTATTTCATTCTGGTATATAATTTTTTCTTGGCTTACTATTTTTTCTTCATTTGATATTATATTTCTAGCTTTTAATTTCTTTGAAAAGATTTCTTCTTTTTCTTTTTTTTTTAGCTAGGCAAACTAACAAATGTCTTCATTGTTGGGAAACTTTCTCTGCTCATACTAATCCGTGTTATATACCATGAGAAAGTGCATGGTTGATGCTAGCATGACATGGCTGAAGATATATACAAGCTGACTTTCATTAAAACCTAAGAGCACAACGAGCTATTCTACTTGATTTCTATGCTCAAATTAGAAGGCAAGTATAGAACAAACACAGCTGCTTCGAGAAGAAAAGAATACCCTTTTCAGTACTTAATTTTCCTTTTGTAGCTAGTCAGGTACATAATATTTCCCCTATATCAGAAATAGACATAGTGCAAAAAGGGAAAATTAAGAAATATATAGAAACTATATTGATTAATCATTTAGAACATTGCTTAAACCCTATGGATCATTCATAGAATATAAAATCATAGATAAACAAAGGGAGAATATTATCTTTCCATAAAAAGAAACCAAAAATTAAACACATCAATATGTCAAAGAAAAAGAAAGTACAATGTATATATGCATATATGTTTTGGTCAAGAATCATGATTATTACCTGGACCTGGGGTATAGAGCCGGCTGATGGTGATGAGCTATAACAAGAAAGTTGTTGATGAAAAGAAGACGAAGAAGAAGAAGAAGCAGAAGTAAGAAAATGGTGGTTTTGCTGAATACTATTGATCATGAGCTGTTGTTGTTGTTGTTGTTGCTGCTGATGATGATAAAGTTGTTGTTGCTGAAGCTGCTTATAGAGCTTCCTCCTAAGCTTCTGTCTGTCTCTGGCCTTGTGATTCTGAAACCAGTAGAACACATTCTTGCCTTCAATCTTTCCATAGAAAGAGAGATGGGCTGTGATCTGCTGGATTTGGGAAGCGTTGGGAGTTCTGGTCCCAGCTCTGTACATCTCTTCAAGGATCATCAGCTGCTCGGGTGTTGGGCACCATCTTGATGAATTAGCTGCTGGAGACATGATGATGATGCTGATGATGCTGATGATATTGATAGAGATATGAAAGTGAGAAATATGTGATTATCTCTTTCAATTTGGGAAAAGATGAGATTCAACTTTTGGGGTTGTCTTATTGGGCTGGGGTTGAATAAGGGAATTTGGTATATAAAGACACAGTGGACAGAGAGAAAGTTACAGTAGAGATGTGGAGAGAGTCATGAAGAAGGAGAGACAAAAAGAAGGGTGTAGAGAGAGAGAGAGAGAGAGAGAGAGAGAGAGGTTAAAAAGAGAGGAGAAAAAAGTACTAATGCAGGGTTGTCATGCTGATGTCTCACTGGGAGGGGCATTCAAGTAGTGGTGTTTTTCAGTCCTTTGCCAATTTGCCATGCACACAAACACACACATATCATATGTATGTATTTTGATTTCAGCAAAAAATAAAAAATAAAAATGTATCTATTTAGAGAGAGAGAGAGAGAGAGAGAGAGAGAGAGAGAGAGAGAGAATCTGTGGAATGAGAGTGAGAAGTGAATGAGGAAAAGACCGTGTCATGTACTGAGGGTGTAATGGGGGGTACCGCGCTTGAATTATTATGTCATCATCACCACATTATCATTTTTTTCATTCAAATTCGATACAGAATGAATAAGACACCAAGTCGGATTCAGACAGCAGAAAAGGTATGCATTGCCCTCTGCCTCTGTGAATATGGGCATTCTTAATTTACCCAACTTGCACTTAAAAGCACGTGAGGGACACGCTCAATGCCAAAAACTGTGAACATATATAGCATACTGCTAATATCACTATTGCTAATCTCTCGGAGGCGTGTTTGAAACTTATTTTAAAATGATTTTATTTTTTGTATAAAAATAAAAATGAAAACGTTTTAAATCTTATATAGAAATTATTTTAAAAATGTATTTGGTAATTTTATTAAGAAATTATTTTCAGTATAAAAAAACTCATTAATATCTTTCTGTTCGAGAGAGGAGTCTCGAGGAGAAAATGAAAAACAACTAAAAGTCATTTTTCATTTCTCTCTCATTTTACACTAAACTAAAAAATCATTTTCATTTCTGTTTTTTGCCTTTATTGCGCCAAATACCGTTTTAAAAACGTTTTCATTTTTTCTTTCTCAAAAAATGTGAAAAACAAAACGAGATCAATTCTAAACACGGTCAATATTTACCAAATATTACTTAGTACCATTTTCATCTCATGATGATCACTTTTTTTTCGTGGGGGTTACAAGGGAAGCTGGGCCTGTGTATCTTGATTGCTCGAGTGCTTGAGAACATTATTGGAGTGGTTCCAATACAGACTCATAAGAAACCAATAATCGCAAGAACAGATGAACACAAAAATATTTGTTTCATGGAGATTCGGGATCTCTCCCTACATCCTCGTTGAGCTCTTCCTCAGAAAAGCTCAATTTACTATTAAAGAAAATTGTTACACCCTCGGAACTCACAATATAAGATAACCCCCAATTCCGGAATTACAATAAATCTTAACCAAGAATAACCTTAGAGAAAAAGCTTAAGCAACACCAAAAAGAATACCCAGTGAAAAAACACTACTCTTCCAAATTCTCTCAGAAAACCCTTGCTTACGATTTCTCTCTCTAAGAAACCTAGAAGTTCTCTATCTCTAGAATTGTACAGACTCTTGTCATATTCTATTCTCTAAGATTACAGACTATATATGATATAAAAGATGAACCGACTAAAGCTGAAAGTCTTCACTGCCTTTCCACGTGTCTTCACCTTATTTGATGTGTGCCCAGACTTCTAATGAAATGCTGCGTTTAATATGACTTCATATGTCTTCAAGAGAAAATAACTTGTCGTTTGGTGTAACTCATTTCTCTAATTACTGTTGTTTACTGAGATTACTCTACTAAACTCCACCTTAAATCTCAGAAACTGACATTGTAAAATTTGAAACTTCTCTAAGGATGTCACATCTCTGACTTGACTAAGTAACATCAAGCCTTGCTAATGTTTAGTATGTCCAAACACTTCTGGAACTTACCAACATTGATCACCTTGGTAGTCATATCTGAGAGATTATCCTTTGTGCTAATCTTTTCTAGTTGTACTATTTCTTCCTCCACCTTCTCTCTTATAAAGTGGTGTCTCACATCTATGTGTTTAGTCTTCTCATGGTAGACAGGTTTTTATACAAATGAATTGTAGATTGACTGTCAGAATAAATTGTGGCTGCACCCTTAAGCACTTTCAACTCCTTCAATAGTCCTTGTAACCACATTGCTTCTTTGAATCCTTCAGTGCTAGCAATGTATTATGCTTCAGTACTTGAGAGCGCAACAACTGGCTGCAATTGTTACTTCCAGGTTATACAACTTCCATTTAAGGTCATCATATAAGCTGAAGTTGATCTTCTTTTATCCCTATCAACTGCAAAATCAGAGCCCACAAAACCCTTTAACACCAACTTGTTAGTTCTCTGTTTGTAGATAAGACCATAATCAATCGTTGTATTAACATATTTTAACAACCACTTCATAGCAAGCCAGTGCTTAGGATCTGGATTTGCTATGTACTTACTCAATACACTTACCGCATAGGCCAAGTCAAGCCTAGTACAAATCATTGAGTACATAAGTGATCCTGCTGCATTGGCATATGGGATCTTAGCCATTTTAAGCTTCCCTTCTTAAGTAGATGGAGACTGATCATCTGAAAGCTTAAAATGACCAGCTAGTGGTATAGAAGTTCTCTTCGATTGATCCATAGAAAAATTTTGTACCACTTTCCTCATATAATTCTCTTGGGATAGATAAAGTATTTTATGAAATTTGTTTCTTTTAATATCTATTCCCAAGATTTTCTTAGTTGTCCCTAAATCTTTCATGAATTCAGAACTTAACAAATTTTTAACATCTTTGATGATATTAGGAGCACTGCTTGTGATAAGCATATCATCAACGTATAACAAAAGATATACAGGGGACTTTGTGTCAATCCCTTTATAATATAAACAAGAATCATAGTGACTCCTAACAAAACCTGCCTTAGTAACATACTGATCAAACCTTTTATACCATTGGCGAGGTGGTTATTTGAGCCCGTATAAAGACTTCTTCAGAAGATTGTAATGCCCTAAACTTTATGTCTATAAATATGTTTCATGTACGAGAAGAAATTATTAAGATTCCTTACTTAAGTTAAGGTTAACGACTGTGTAATTTTGGTAATTACTTAATTATATCGATAATTAGCTTATGATATTCTACGATTTGCAAGAATAAGGGATAATTAATTTTGAGTCTTAGAGATTTGAGAAAGTGCGAGTTACTCAAATTTCTAAATAATCAAAAATAGATCATGAAATGCCATTGTGGTACAAGACCTATATGAAAGTAATGGTATAAATTATTTTTACATGAGAGATTATGTAGATTAGTGAAATAAAATGCTTATCTAATTTTATGTTTCCCTCAAGTCTTACAAAAAGTTATTTTTTAGTTCGATGAGAACCTCTCTTGTTTATTAGAACCGATCAAGTTAACAAAAAAAGGAGATGAATCACTCATCAAAAGAGTTAAGTTCCAAGATAGGAACTATCAATAAAGGTTCAAACAACAAGAGATTATCACGATGCAAGATGTTCCATTTTAAAAAGTATTTTCAATTTTTATTTTGATGTTTAAACTTTTAACTATGTACTTTAACCTTAATACTTTTGAAAAAAAAATATTTATCGCAAAATTTCTCTTAATACATTCTTTAAGTACATATATGTTTCATGTTTATGCTATGAACACCAAGTAGTAACGGCTTGCCATATCGGGTCGTTACAAGACACACATGATCCTCCTTCCCTTTTACTTCATAACCTGGTGGCTGATTCATGTAGATTGTTTCTTGTAGATCTCTATGTAAGAAAGCTGTCTTGATGTCTATTTGTTCAAGTTTGCAATCTTCATCAGCCACCAAAGCTAAAATGGTCCTTATGGTTTTGTATTTCACCACAGGAGTGAAGATTTCTTTGTAATCCATAGGAGTGGTTCCAACACAGACTCGCAAGAAACCAATAATCACAAGAACATATGAACACAAAAATATTTGTTTCACCGAGGTTCGGGATCTCTTCCTACGTCCCTGTTCTTCCTCAGAAAAGCTCGATTCACTATCAGAGAAAATTGTTACACCCTCAAAACTCATAGTACAAGAAAATTCCCAATTCCAGAATTACAGTAAACCCTAACCAATAACAACCTTAGAGAAAACGATTAAGCAACACCAAAAAGAATACCTAGTGGATGAACACTCATCTTCCAGATTCTCTCAGAAAATTCTTGCTTACAATTTCTCTCTCTAAGAAACGCAGAAGGTCTCTCTCTTTAGAATTGTACAGACTCGTGTCCTTTTCTATTCTCAAAGATTACAGACTATATATGATATACGAGATGAACTGATTAAAGCTGAAAGTCGTCACCACCTTTCCACGTGTCTTCACCTTATTTGATGTGTACCCAGACTTCTAATGAAATGCTGCATTTAATATGACTTCATCTGTCTTCAAAAGAAAACAACATGTAACTTTGTGTAACTCCTTTGTCTAATTAATGTCGTTTCTTGATATTACTCCCTAAAAGTTGCCTCATATCTTGCCAGTGGTACTACTTTTAGTGGGAATGGCGCGCTCCTCATTGAGCGGTAGGGTCTGCCTTTAGAAACTTCACCTAGCATTTTTGTAGCGTTTATGATCGTCCCTTTGATACCACTTAAAATGAATATGCAAATGCCAGTTGTCCTAATTCTGAACTTATTAACTTTAAGAGAGAGAGAGAGAGAGAGGGAGAAGCTGGGGCTGTGTAACCGACTACCCGTAATAAGTATCTTTAAGGTACCAGCTAGCTAAAACTGTTTGGCCTCAATGGTTAGTGCTCCAGCTAACTAAGGTTGTTTGCCTCGATGGTTGAAGGTTTCAAACTAGTATAGTTTGAACCTTTTGGTTTAAAAAATTTGGTTGAAACCTTACATCAAACCATAAGAACTTAAGGAGAGGTTTAGTTTAGAACAAATTCTAAACAGCTTCAAAGAGCCACAGCTCTTCC